GTTAGAGTATATCAAACATAGTTCTACTCTGTAGAGCTCGGGATTTCACAACATGCTGAGAGTAATGTGTTCTCAGAGGATCCCCCTTGTGATTTAGCAATAACATTTACATAGATCAGCTTGGGAGGGTACAGAGATGCAAAGATAAAATTTCATATTTATGTTCTATTTTCTTGTTGTGGGGGAAAACGTAGTGTTCCGTTTGTATTGTACTTCATATGTTCTCTTTTTGGTTAAATTTCCCATTAAGTCTTGCATAGATGTATATCGTTATGGTGATGAATAGATTTTAAGAGGCATTGATGCATTTGGGCTAGTTCTTTTAGTCCTTTCTCCCAAACCCCTTATCAGGTTGATCCCTAGGGAATGAACTCCCTTTGACATTAGGTGGTGTTTGGTTTCTGGAATGAATGTAATTCAGATTTGGTATAATGGAATCTAGGTAAGAGTGGAGTTTGGAGAGAGTTTGAGAGTAGATAAGATAACTGAAAATTGGTAAAGAGTGCAGTTGGTATTATTTCACATTTCGGGGGATTCGTTGATGGGAATGTCCATTTCATTCCAAAGTTTAATCCAATAAACCAAACACTATCTTATAGATAGCATTATAAATGAAAGAAGAGGTCTTGTGTCCCATGTTACGCCTATGAGGAAGAAGGGGAGAAAAGAAGTGCAGCCATCTTCACCACATTGATTTTCCGTGTATTGAGTCTATTGACTACTTATGGAACTTATATTCACTTGTGTTGGACAATTTTGCGGTACTTTCAACTTCATTACTTGAAAAATGTGTGAGAGAAATATAATATATCTTTCCTATTGTGAAATATGTTTGTAGTTATTTCATTATGTTTATTCCACGAGGGAAACTAAAGGACACACACACGTATGCAGACACAGTCAATCACACAGATTCATACCCACAACCTATCAAAGATATTCACTCCCTTCTCCAACTTATATAGTAGAACCATGATGGACGTTGTCTCGTCAAACACTGACATGTATGACATGTGCTTTTTCTGATTTGGTTGGTTAAAGCTGTTGCTAAGACGTGTTCAAATTCACCAATTTAATTGGGATTCATGGATTCTGTTTTTGTTTGTGTATGCTGTATTGCTTATTAATGATTGCAAGGTATGATATAATGGAATGCACGTGTGTGTTGACATGTAATTTTCTTAGTGACTGGTAAATGCCTGAGGCACTGACATCCTTGGTTTGTTGTGATATGTTGACACTTGGATTTGTGGATATAACCATAATATTTTCTTCCCTACTGCATTCATGCAGTTAGGAGGTCTAACTGAAATTGATTTTCAAGCAATTTATGGACTTTATAAGGCAGAGGCTAATAGTTAAGAACTTATGCATTCTTGCATATCTATTGCAGTATCACCCTGATGTTAGCAAAGATTCTCAAGCTGAAGAGGTGTTCAAGAGTATCCGTCAGGCATATGAGGTGAGTAGTAACTAATAGTTTTTTTTTTTTTCTTCTTCATATCGGTAACCTTGTTGCTTTTGAAATCTGATATTATAAATTATGCCTCTTTGGTACTGGACCTCGGTGAAATGTCTAATATGCCCAGATCATTTTTAAGGAACTTTAATAATAATTTGAAGAACCAAGGATGGTATGTCATTGTACACTACCCTAAGTTGTTTTCTAATTGTAATCAGTTTCTTTCTTTTATTATTCATCTTCTTTCTCAGCCAATCCATTCTCCTCCTCTACACCCGAACCGTCTCTCTTCCCACCCCCCACTTCCATCATGTTACAGATGCAATTGCCTTCTATGTACCAATAGATGCTTTTATATGAATGTAAAACTGGAAATATCTTGTAACTGGAGAAAAAAAAAAACCGTTGAGAAGACCATTCTGTCTCTTTAGCATCTATATTTAATTGATGTTGAAGTAAATCACTTCCTCTTTTTACTCCTGACTTTCCTGCTTCCTGAGCAGTTCTTTCTTCCTTTTTGTAATTTACTAATAACTGCATTCGTAAAAATTAGAACTCTAATTTCTATTATGACCATTCTGTCTCTTATCTCATATGTTTTCCAATTTACCCTGAGGTAAATGGTTTAAATAGCTAAAAGAAAATGTAATTTTCAATACCTGACTGTTTCTTTATGAATTCCCTGGAACCACAAATGAATTAGGAGAACAAGCAGATCAACCTTGGTTATCGACGTAAGTGTCTTGTGTCCTTGACTGGAGCTGTTATCATGATAGAATGTCTAAGCAGAGCATTTTCTTTTCCGTAAAAGTCTCTTTTTCCTTTTTTCCTTTTTTGTTCATGTTTAGTAGACGCAATGACTGGACCCTTCATGTCACTTATGAACAGATTCTATCTAATGAAGCAACCAGGACTCAGTATGACCAAGAACTTAAATTTCAAAAGGACACTGGCAGGAAATACAGTGGAAAATGGAGCTACAGCCCTGAATTTGAAGATGGAGTAAGGATCTATAAGTGGGCTGAAGCGAGGCAGAAAATGCAACAGGAGAGACATTGGAAACGCTATCATGTCAATGAAGAAACTTCGTCATATGGTAAAACTGATGAAGCAACTGAAGAAGGAGAGGCAGTGCAAGAGAGAGGTTCCTTCAGTGAAGTGCTTAGATCTGCCTTTGTATCTCTGTTCTTGTTGCAGACATTTGGATCCTGTTTATCTCTCACTTTTAGTAGCCTGATGGCCTTATTTGACAGGAAGTTGGATGCTGGATATAAGATTGGTTATGTAATTGCATGGGTTTTAGGTGGGAGAGGTGGTATCTTGCTCACTTTGTGCCTGTCGTTTGCAAGTTGGGTTTGTGGAAAAACCAGCAGCAATATAGTTGCTCTGGTGGTGGTAGCCATGTGGGTTGGCTCAAACCTTGCAAGATTTGCACCACTTCCACAAGGTGCTCTGCTTACTCTCCTGTACATGTCTATTAAGCTACAAGTTGATTTGAACTAAAACCGCGGCTGTAACGCGAATGTGTTGTATCTGCTTTTTTCTTTTAATGGATAAAGAAGGTGTTGTACATATGTTGTATTATTGACTACAATCCTTACAATTGTGTAAACTGGTTCATTGCAAAAAAATGTAGATGAGAAATTCATGTTCTTTTAGACCAGGAGTATACTATGGGCTGATCTTTGTGCACTAAATCTCCATTCTGTACCAATATTTTTGTTTTGTCAAAGTAGATTTAAAAGAAAGGAGTTGGTCTGCTTGGCTGCACCAATCAGTTGCCACTCAATTTCCTCAAAAGTATGTGCAAATTTGATCATTCTTTTCTGGTAAATGAAAATTGACACTACATTTGCAGAATGGTAACTCACATATTTCTCTCTAACCAAGCACAATCATCAACTCCTTCGTCCTTCCCCGTGAAAAAGAAAAGAAAAGAAAATAAATCAAGAAGATTTGCATGTTTTTGCAGTAATATACCCTCGATTAAAAGAAATTTTTAAAAAAAAACCATTTACAATTGGCTAACAAGTTTTGACTTGCTCTTGTTTCATCTTCCTCCACAAGTATCTCCCGCTGGCCATGTCAACAAGTACCCAGAAGACATTCTGAGTCATCTGAAATTCAATTCACCAACATTAACAAAATGACAGAGATAATTATATTACTTGAAGAAGAAAAAGAAGAAGGAAATAAGCATACCATTCTCAAATTGAACTCTTCTTTTTTGGTTGGTATATTTTCATCGGTAGAATCCTGTGAGTTGATGTCAGTTCCGGGAGAAGAACGAACCGTCCTCCACGCACAATATCCTGCAAGAATCGCTGAAAAGAACACCAAGATGAACCTCAGAGGACACATTTGGTTTTGCTTTCTGGAAATCAGCACCAGAGAGAGAGAGAGAGAGAGAGAGAGAGAAAGGGATTGGATGAAGCTCTTACACCAAAAAAAAAAGGAAAAAAAAAAAACAAGAGCTATTAGTTGTGTTTTCTAAGGAAGATAGGGAATAAATAAAGACAGCCAAAAGAACGAAAGCCTTTACTTTTTCAAGGTTGAAATTAATTTATATGAGAATGAGAAAGCGCGTAGTCGGTAATCGAAGTTTTCTTCTGCATGTTGCTTTCTGACTTGGTACATTTCATATAATTCGTTGTATATGATTGGTCAATGGTAGGTGGCTGGCTTATCAACTGCTCCTATTCTTAGTCAACGTTTTCCAAGACATACAGATGACAGAAGGGCGCTCCACTATCTCAAAAATAAATTAAATGCAAAATAAAATACAACAAAAATAATAATAACTCTCAAACTATATTCAATTATTGATGATTTCAAAACACATGCATGAGTTCTTATAAACTCTAAAAATACTCTTCTTCCTAATATGGACCTCCATATAGAAACAAAATAATACTATTTTAAATATAATTAAAATATTAAAATAAAATAACATCAAAACTAAAACTATTCACCGAAAACCAGAACACCTCCAACAACCGCCGACTAGCCCCGTTCTCCGGCATATATGCCCAGCCACCCACATCTAGTCGCCCTTGCCTTAGCACAACAACAAGCCCAATCATAGCTAGTGGCGGAGCTAGGATTTTATATTTGAGGGGGCCAAAATGTTAACACAAAAAGTTTAGTTGTATATTTTTTTTGGCATATTGAGTAAACTATTGCGTACAAAAGCACTAAATTGAAATGCAAGGGTTTTTTTTCATAAATGTAGTATGATTTTACTATTATATTCATATTAAAATACAATTTTGACTAGTATTGATTTGTGGTGAGGAGGCCATAGGCTTTTTTTTTTTTTTTTGTCAAAAAGAAGCTTTCATTAGCAGGAGAGCAAACCAAACAAATTACAACTCAAAGAACAAGGAAAAAACCAAACCATGCAACAGAATAGAAGTGCATGTAAAGCCATAAACTCAAATAAAACTCATACAAGCTGCTACAAGAAAGAGCCCCACGAAATCGGAATGGTACGACAATCCAAAATCAGAGAGTCATGGTCATCTTGAAACAATGCAAGCTATGTGGAGGCTCGAGGAGGGCAGGGAAGACCGTCACGATTTAAGATATGCACAAGAGAGGTGGGGGGCCTGGGTACCCAGACTTCCGGACTCAACCTCGATAGTGCCAGCGACGCAAGATGATCTGCCGCTTCATTGTTTTTCCTACCAGTCCATGCCCAGTTACAGTTTGAGAAGATGGAGTTGCATTCACGAATCCTTGATATAAGTGGGTATAGATTCCATCTTCCACGTTTTATGTTTCCTTTCACGCTCTGAACTTCAACCAGCTCTTTGGAGTCAAATTCAAAGCAAACCTTAGATAAGCCCAGCTCAGATGCCCATTTGCAACCTTCCAAACCAGCAATTGCCTCAGCCATGATCGCAGATTCCGCTTGAAAGGATAGGCATTTCGCTCCCACGAACTCACCATTAGCATTTCGTGCAATAAGACCTGCTCCTGCTTTGCCAGAGGATGCCAACCAAGCAGCATCAAAGTTAACTTTAATAACATGGGCATCTGGGGCTGTCCAAGAGGTAGGATTTGGAGAGGGTCCTTCGTAAAGCTTCCTCACATTCCTTTTGTTATTCAACGCAGCCAGCTCCTCCACTTGAGAAAGAATGGTTTTGATGGCCAAGAGGGGTTGTGGTTTGCAATGATCAAAGACAAAACGGTTCCTTGATTTCCAAATAATCCAGCAAGTAACAGCAATAATGTAAGATATGCGCCTTTTTTCCTCCTTAGATTGGAGCCCATCCATGGTACATTTCAGCAACCATTGGTCAAAAGTGGTAATTCCCTGCTTGTCAATTTTATAATTAAGAGGGCCTCCAAACCAAATCAATTTGACCCACGGGCAAAAGAGGAGCAAATGCTCAATAGATTCCTCATGAGCTTGGCATATAGGACATAATGGGGTTTGAGCAATTTTGCGTTTGTGGAGAGCCATCGCTGTAGGTAGCCTATCATGAGTCGCACGCCATAGGAAGTTTTTTATCTTTGGCAGGACCTCAGCTTTCCAAATATTTTTCCACATCAAGGGGTCTATCTGTGATGAGGTGGAGGCTTTTCTGGTGGTGGTCTCAACCTCAAGGGCATGGATGTAATGGTACCCGGATCGCACAGAGAATCTGCCGTTCTTTTCCCCCGGCCACACTAATCTGTCTTCCTCCCTTCCATTCCCTATAAGGATAAGCTGGACAGCAAGCTTCTCCTCGTCAGTAATTGAAGCTTGAATCGGGGTTAAGTTCCAAGATTTGGAATCCTAATCAATTAGAGTTTCCACCCTAGTGTTAGGATCAACTGAGGCTTGCAAGTGAGAGTGGAGTTTACCATCATGAAGGGAGGGAATCCAACGGTCTGTCCAAATCTTTGCTTGTCTACCATTTAGAATTTGCCACCGAGCTCCCTGGAGAATGATCTTTCTTCCCTCAAGCAAGCTTGCCCAAGCCCAGGAAGCACGACCGTCTTTCTTTGCCTCCAAGAAACTACATTCCGGGAAATAACGAGCCTTCAAGAGTTGAGCCCATTGGGAATTCGGCTCCATGATTAATCTCCAACATTTTTTGGCTAGCAAGGCCAAATTGAAATCATTAAAATCTCTAAATCCCATGCCTCCCTGATTCTTTGGAAGCCCCAAAGTAGCCCAACTAATCCAATGCACTTTTGTCTCATCCTGTTTTTGACCCCACCAGAACCTAGCAATCTCATGTTCCAGATTTTGACAGAAGGATTTGGGGAACTTAAAAATTCTCATGGGGTAAGTTGGAACCGCCTGAGTGACTGATTTAATCAGAATGTCCCTTCCAGCTTGTGATAACAAACCTTGCTTCCATCCTCCAATCTTTCGCAGCAACCTTTCCTTCACAAAATTCAGAGCCTCACTTTTTGACCTGCCCCAAAGAGTAGGCAAGCCTAGGTACTTTCCAGTATCCGTAACAATTGACATACCTAGGATAGTTCCTAGCTCTCTTTTCAAGTCGTTGGGAGTGTTGGGACTGAAGAAAACACTAGATTTTCCCAAATTGATCTGTTGCCCCGAGGCTCTGCAGTACCCATTTAGAAGATTCATCATGTTGTGACAATTTTGAGCATTTGCCTTAAGAAACAATAAGGTATCGTCCGCGAAGAGTAAGTGAGAAAGGATCGGGCCATTCCTACAAAAAAAGAGACCGTGCAATAGCTGTGCATCACAAGCTTTTTTTTATTAAGGAAGATAGAGCCTCATTTACAAAAAGGAACAAATATGGTGAAAGAGGGTCGCCTTGACGAATCCCGCGGGTAGGCTTGAAATAGCTTCCTAGCTTGCCATTAATAACCAAAGCTAACTCCACAGATTTGACCAAGCTCATGATCATCCTCACCCACTTATCAGCGAAGCCCAACTTCCTCATCATGGCCTCCAAAAAATTCCATTCGACCCTGTCGTACGCTTTATTCGTATCCAGTTTCATGCCCAATGCATATAACTTGGTGGACTTTCTAAGCTTTAACAGATGGAAAGCCTCATGAGCAAGAAGGATATTGTCTTGTATTTGTCGGTTTGGGACAAAAGCATTTTGAGCAGGGGAAATTATCTCAGGAAGAAACTGTTTCAGTCTATTGGCCATCACTTTTGAGATAATTTTATAGGAATAATTACACAGGCTAATTGGGCGATACTGAGTAACAGACTCAGGATTTGGGACTTTGGGGATTAATACAATGTTGGTGCTGTTTAGGGTAGTGAGATTACAACTTTCAGCAAAAAAATCCTTCACAATGCCTTGAACCTCCCTGTGGATTATGTCCCAATACTGCTGGTAGAAAATCCCATGATACCCGTCCGGCCCCGGGGCCTTAAGGGATCCCATTTGCATTGCTGCCTCTTTAATTTCTTGAGAGGAGATTTCCTGTAATAATGTAGTGTTAATGTCCTCTGTAACAACAGGATCCACACAAGATAGAATATCCAAGTCATCCTCCACATACTCAGTTGAGAAAAGACCCTTAAAATGTTCCTCAATCACTCTTCTTGTAGCATTTTGCCCGGAGTACCATTGGCCATTATTCCCTTGGATTCGCAGAATACGGTTTTGTCGCCGTCGAGCAATGGTGGAGTGGTGAAAAAAAGTAGTATTCATGTCTCCTTCATTGAGCCATTTTACTCGAGATCTCTGGTGCCAGTATGTCTCCTCCCTAGCCCAAGTCTCATTTAAGTTACTTGTGATTCTTTTGATCTCCTCATAGTTCTCCTCCCACCTTCCTTGTTTATCTTGAAGCTCAGCCTGTAAAACTGCTACTTGTTTCCTATTATTTGTATATTTTTCACGGCTCCACTGGGTAAGCAACTCAGTACACTTTTGAAGCTTTGTTTGCCACTTATCAATCCACTGTCTGTTGACATTAGTACTCCAGCCATGATCGATGACTTGACGAGACTCACGATCCTCCACCCAAAAGGCTTCAAATTTAAAAGCTCGTTTCCCCCTGCTGAAATGATGATCAGTTTCCACAATGATAGGATTGTGGTCTGACCCAATTGCAGGGTAATGGGTAACCGTTGTGTTTGGCCATTCCTCTTGCCACAAATAATTAACTAGGCCTCTGTCAAGCCTTTCCTGTAAAAACTGATCATTTTGCCGTCGTGCTCGCCAAGTGAAGCGCGACCCATTATATCTAAGATCCACCAATGCTACCTTCTCCATAAAGTCACGTAGATATCTCGGACGATTTGGTGGGTAAAGTTGCCCCCCACTTTTTTCAAAAGACCACAGAATCTCATTGAAGTCCCCACCACAAAACCAAGGAATATTCATTGGCTGAAGCTCAAGCTCCAATCTATTCCAAAAGATCTCCTTCTCTTCCCTGTAAGGCGTCCCGTAAACCTAGGTGGCCCTGCCTTGTGTGCCCGTGGTCAGATCTGATATTTTTGTATCAATGAAATTTTGAGAAAAACTCAAAATCTCAAGGTTGATATTCGTATCCCACCATAAGCATAGCCCTCCTGCAGTACCAATGGGAGGAATACAAAAGCCATGCTGATAATTGCAACTTCTTCTTACTTTCTCCATCCTATTGTTTCTTGATTTTGTCTCCATTAAGAACACAACAGTGGGTCGGTATTTGCAGATCAACTCCCGCAGAGCACGAACTGTCAAGTCCGACCCAAGGCCTTGACAGTTCCACAAGATGTATATCATGGCTCCCTTGTGGCTGTTGTAGGCTAGCCGCCACCGCCCCGGGTCGAAACACCCGCCTCATAGTTTAACACTTGTTTGCCTCCCTGTTCCCACTGCTCCGCTTGGATGATATTGACTTCCGTAAGGTTTTCTTCCTCAACAGTCACTTGAGACCTTCTTGTTAAGCCGTTAGTGGTACTGGAATCGCCATGGTTGGTTTTCCTTGGCTTATACACCCTCCTTCTTGACTTCCCTTCAAAAACACTCTCTTTTTGATTCTGTCCTCCTTCCTCCGTATTTCCTTTTCTATGGGTATTTTTCTGTTTATTCCCAAGGGAGCCAACGTTGGGTCTCCTCGCATATTCGTTGTGGCGCTTCAAACCTAGATTATGAACCATGGTGCTGACTTGTGAGACAACCCTTGTAGAAGATACAGTGATTGCTGGCCCGAAAGGATTTTTGAAAAGTGGTTCCACCTGGATTGGTTGCCCAAAGGGCCCAAGGTCCAAACTATCCTCTTTGTGATTGGGCCCGGGCTTGCACCAATTTGTGACAGACTGGTTTCCTTTGGTCATATTGGTATGGGCCCATTCAATACTTCTTTCTGTTGAGTTAGGGCTAGAATGGGTCTCAGAGGTATTTGCGGCCGTGTTTTGATCATTTGGAAGCAAGATCACAACATTCGTTGGATTCTCTACTCCTCCAAAGATTTGTCATGGACTTTGGTTGCCCTATGTCAGGTACAAAGGCTCCCTTTGTCTTGTGCCGAGGAGATCCTCGTACCTTCCTTCAAGATCAGCTTCCCCTGCGTGTGACAGCTCAACATCATGGCTGCTCCCATCAGTCCCCAGCTGTCCCGCTGCAGACGCCGTCTGATTTGATTGGACGTTGTGATTTTCGAGAGTCACCTCACCTTGCCCAAATTGGTCGTTGTTTTCACGCGCCGCTCCGTCACCACCAGGCCTTCTCCTGATTGTAGCAGCCCTTCTTCTCTCCCAAGGTGCCTTAGTTGGTGGTTTTGGGTCTACAAATTCTCTGATTATCTTCGCTCTTGTCCATTCTCCATACTTCGCATCTATTTCTAGTGAAACTTCAAAGGTACAGGCATCCATACAATGTCCGATTCTTCCACATCTGTAACAAAAGTCCGCTAGTCTTTCGTATTGGTACTCCACCCATGTTTCATAGTCATCGGGCCTTGGTAACCAGAATCCAGCAACGAGTGGTTGGTTTGTGTCCACTTCGATTCACACTCGCAGGAAGCCCCTGAGTTTAGCTGGGTTCTCATACTCCAAAACAGCCCCCGCCTTCTCCCTAAGCTTTATCATATTTTCTTCATGGCTTAAGTTCAGAGGAATACCTCGAATCTAAACCCAATGAGGCACCAAGTCCATGTCCACCTCTTCAATAGCTTTGGTTGGCGGCCACCTTTTGACTGCAAAGCAACACTTCATCACCGACCAGGGGCCGTTGTTAAGAATCCTGTCTACCATTCCTTCGTCTGTCACCGTTATGGCGAACAGATTATCCTTGACCCAGACAATTTTGGTCTCCCCATAGTCCTTCCAAGCCGCTTTTAGGATATTCTTGATAGCCCCTTTGTTGGGTAGTTTCTGGGCAATCACTGCACCCACCAATTTTGGCCCTTCTTCCAAGTTTGAGATCCCCAAGGATCCCTCAAGGTGTTCAACAAGTTCCTCCGTGGTGGGTCTCACTCTTTCAAACCTTCCAGGACCAAATCTCCTCCTCTCACTCATTTTTGGTTGGGATGAGTAAGTGTACTGGGTTT